TTGCATTTTGTTCCTTCTCATCATTTTGTGTAGCACTGTTTTCTGACCTTTGTTGTAGATCTTCTTTGTAGTTATAACCTCTGCACGTACTGAAGTTCAGGTGCAGATCGGGCTTGGGCTAGGACTGGGTCTGGGGATCCCAGAATGCAGCAGAAATTCCTACTCAGCAAGCAGGGTGGGGGAGCTGCTGCATAGTGGTTAGGGGCATCCCAAGGGGGTGGAAGAGTGTCTCACCTGTGCTCCGCCTGGGCTGGGACCAGTTATAGGTCCTGCTGGCACAGGGTAGCCAGAAGCTCTCTCACACACTCACCAGGCCTGGGCTAGGACTGGGTCTTGGAGTTCCTGGAACGGGCAGAAATTCCTACTTGATGGGCAGGGTGTGGGAGTTTCTGTGGTGTGCATCCCAAGGTGGTGGAAGTGGGTCTTACCCACGCTGTGCCTGGGCTGGCACCAATAGTAAGTCCCACTGGCGCAGGACAGTGGGAAGCTCTCCTATACACTCACAGGGCCTGGGCTAGGACTCGAGAGATTTTCAATTCCCTAATGAAATAAGTCACAATTTGGGCACACTGATTTTACATGTAGGCTAGCTAAGAATCTTAACTTTAGTATTATTTTCCAATATCTAACCTAACTAGTATAAGATTGAAAGTGTTTTCAAAAATATTTTATTCCCATATTTATAATAAAATTCAAAGAAAAAGAAAGGTAGATATGTTAGAATTTACCTAAGTAGTTGTAATGGCAAAAGATACTGAAAATTACCCAGGATTTGGAGCCAGATTTATTTTACATTGATGGGCACTGATAGGGACTGCTCCCAGAATTCCAGGCCCCAAAGGCCTATGGAGAGAGGTCTTTATGGAGTTGAAAGGGAAGGTACAGAGGCAGAGCCCTTGGCTCTCTTTAGTTCTTATCATGTGCATCGTAGTGACCAGCTATGCAGTGCTGTGACCAGCTGTTTCTAGACGACAGAACCAACAAAACCTGTCACCTGCGCAACTGAAGTCCACCAGCCTGTGGTGGGCGTTCTGCTGCATAGTAAGAACTGTGCCAGGAATGTATCAGTGGTGAAACATGAAGAACATTTAAGATGTACTTAGTGGAAATAACATTGCTAATTGAGACTACATTCTTACATGTAAAGGGTCATAACATCTTAAATGAGAGCTGTCTTAGTTGCTTTTCTCTCCTTGCTGGGATAAAATACCCAACACCCAAAATTAAGGAAGGAAAGGTTTATTTAGCTCACAGTTAGTGGAGGTTTCAGTCCATACTCTGTGGGCTCCAAGGCAGAATGGCACATGGCAGAGAGCAGCTGATCATTTCAGTGGAAAACAGCAAAGAGCAAAAGGAGTAGTAATGGCAACAAAGGCAACCAAGAGTAAGTCTGAAGCTCAAGGACTTGAGTTCAATCCC